CACTGTCCCTATCTGTCATTTTCCCATCATCCGTAACTTTGTAAGCCTCACTGCGAAAGCATGGGATCCAGAGACAAACCAAGACAAAAGACTGGAGAGGGGAATGTCGTTTCGGAATATACACACGCGTTCTTTTAAAGAAAAACTGAGTTATTAATAAAAGACAGCTTTAGTTTCACACTATAAATGTCATGTTATGTTATGTTAATGCATTATTTAAGAAATGAAAATCAATACCGATACGTCACAAGGCTCTGTACTCCTCTCGTATTGATCGGGTCGTGGGATCAAATCTTGGTTAAGTCTAAATATTTTTATTCATTCATACAGTAAACATGTTATTATTTTACATTATACATTTAATATACAAAATTCTTGTAATTTCCGAAGCGAGGAAGGGATTTATTTCGTTACATACTGAGTTAACTGTTGATAAAATGGAGCGTTCCGACACTACACGTCGAATAAACGGTGTATTCTGAATTTTCTTGGAGCAGGACACAGTATGATTAAAATGTAGTCAAACTAGGACCTTACTTTTAATTATAATGGTGTATAATAAGAGCAGACCCTAAATCAACACCTTTCAATACTGGACCACAGTGCAGTTAGATACGTATAAAATTTGTTTTATATTGCAAACGTTCCCATTAGCCACAGAACTCGCTAATATTTTAGATATATAGTAAATTACCTCGACTTGTAGTTAATTATTTCAAATATTTGCATCAATTCAGCCGTTTTATTTCGGAATCTCTTGCAGAGTTATGGTCCAACATCCTGACACACGCAGCAAAGCGGTAATAGTCATGATTTCATAATTGTCAAAAATCCACGGAGGGTAATGCATTCCAGGAAATATTTACGCTGTTAACGTTTAGATTTATATATTATTTATGTCACGAGAAGTTACAAAACAGCATTTAATGTTTTATTTATTGCACTTCTGACAATTTTTAACGAAATTCGCTTCATTTTTAGTTAGTAGACTTTTCAGTGATTAAATGAACCTGTCCAATTAGGAAGTGTGCCGCTTACGCTAGGCTGAACACTTGTTATAAAAAAAACAACTTCTCTCTATGATTTACTCTAATCAGACTAGTATTCCTGGTTTCATTTTTAAATTCATGTCCTGCGGGCTATATGAATATACTCGAATTTTAATTTTGTAGAAGAAATTTATTCTCAGCGATTCATTTGAATATTTTCATCCAACCGTTATCCTATTCAGGAGTCTCAGGTTACTTGTCATGGTGACTAATAAGATTAATTTCTGAGGAGAAACTTGGTAAAATCACTGAATGACTGTTCGCTTGGACAGTTAGAGGAGTTAGCGGAGATTCGAATCGGTCAGAGACTTATGACACCTTGCATTGTTTTACCGCTGAGAAATGTGATCAACACATTTAGTCGATTATTTTTTCTATTAAAAAAATGCTGATTTTGTTTCTTTCGCCCATAGTGTCACATTCTTCGGTCCTTTAACCTCTGAATCGAGAATTGGCGTGCCGTAGTGGGTGTTATAGTTCGTCAGATTTTCCTGATAGACGTCCTACGCTTCGCCGTCCTCTGTAGGCAGAGACTTATGAGGGACCGTTCACTCGTCCAAGGAGCCCCATCAGATGTCTAAATAGATTGAGAAACCTCTCATGCGTGAGGCGGCCAAGGTCCGTCAAGGACTGCAGAGACAGACTAAGTACGTATAAAAGTGCAGTACAGGCTGATGGAAAACTAATTTCTTGCGTAAGGAGACGTGATGTTTGTCTGAGGAAGGACTGAGGGTACCTCTGATACGAGAGAAAGACAAAGATAAAATTTATCAAAAATGAGAACAAAATATATTATTGTCACTGAGCTATCTAACCGACTATTTCAATTATGTAAAGAATTAAGTGGTAATATAGGTTATGATTTTTAAATATGCATTTATTATTTGAATGAAATGGAGGTCGTACATCTCTGTATGTCTAATCCCGAAAATAATTTAACAGATTTCAATTAAATTTGATTCTGGCTGTTGGATATTTTTGAGCAGGTTTAAATTTCTCTCCGCATCGTTCTGTACTCTTAACTGAAGTTCACATGAAAAATTATTCTTCTTCTCAAGTATTCTGATTGTCATTAGAAGAACGTGGCACATAAAATATTGAACTTCATACAAAGTGCAGCTTACATACGACATAAGACTTCGGGTTTGGACTTTCAAAGGTCCAATGAATGGGGGAAGAAAAACGTACAGACTGCCTGCTACAGTAGGCTTACAAAGTTATTCCTCGCAGGCAAAATTTGTCAGTAGAAAATAATTTACCAGCAAAGACTTTATGTTAAAAATTCTAAAAATATCTGGCCGTTTCACTTTCCATAATTAAACGGGTGGCGTATTTTTAAGAGTCGACCATTTGGAAACATTCCATTCATTACTGGATTTATAAATCGGAATTATGTAAAGTGGAACAATATGAAAGTCTTAACATTTCTATAACGTTTAACCTGAAGCAATCTGAACTTCATGAATGGAAAACTTAAGTATCCTTATGCCTAAGCACCAGGCAATGGAGACGTAAATTTCCTCCACTTTGGTAGAACAAAAAATTCCCTGCGTCCATCGGAAGGTCCCCTGATCCCTTCGTCGCAGAACTGAATAGATCGGGGCCAACACTTAGTCACTTCACTGCCTTCACTAACCCTTCGTTATCAGCCTTTAATGTGTAAAGTACAGTAAGGTACATGTAATATTTTTAACACAGAAACCGTAATACTGCTTTTTATGGAATTCACTAGTCCCTCAACCGTAACACTCAATTTCAAAACAACTTGTTTTCTGTCATGCTTCATGATATCCATGATTCATGCAAGCATAACCATGACTCGAAATATGAAATTATGTCAATTACTATCATTTTTTTAGTTTGCGTTAAATTATGAGAAATATAATATATACTACATCCGTAGTTCCTGCTTGCACGAATAAACAAAGAATTCAAATACTGTAGAATCTTCCATAAAATAAATTAATTTTCTTAATGACGGAATCGTAAAATTAATTGCGTAATTTTAATTGTACCTCAAGTGACGCAGTTTGGACGATTTTAAACTAACACGGCAAAGTGTTTCAAGACAATTACATTTATAAAGCAGCGAGAAAATTATACTTAAGTCGTGTCAAACTAAAATACATCAAGGGCGTATAATTATATTCGCAAATATATTACTTAACCTACTGTCTCCTGCCCTTGATAGGGTTTACGTGGGAAAAAATGACAGGTCCGACCTTCCACGGCTTCTACCTTACAATCTTAAACCGAGTCTTCAGCTACCGACATTAAAACAAATTGACCTGTCGCGAACATAAAAGGCGACTGCGCTATTCTTTGAACATTTCCTGGTCCTGACCCGTGACCTCACTTCCCCGACAGCGCGTTTCAGTTGCCGTGTAAGAACCGCAGTCTTTTATAATTACTTCAGCGTCACAGTAACTGAACTTCATATTCAATGAAGTGTTCTGATGTTTCATTACGTGTGTCAAATAAATTATAACAACGAAGAATAGTTCCTGGAATCGCTTATCCTGGCCCGATTAATCAACACTACACACTAAAAGAGTGAAAATGTGTACTCCAATTCCATGTACACGTAGGTGTGCCTTACAATGACTTACATATTTTCACTAATTACTGATAAACAGGCCTGTTTACTTTTGACAGGATTGACATAAAACAACACACATGCTCCCTTGTTTCGCTAACTTACTCCACGAAGCCCAGTACTTGAGACAATAATCACTTAGCTCGTAAAATATTTTAAGTCCAATGCCATTTTTACAAAAATCTTCCTGATATTCGTCAATCCATTGCACATCGTCACAGACCGCATTTCCTTAAGACCCATTTTGATCTTGTTCACACTTGATTCTGCTTTCAATTTTTCTGTCGTCTCTCCTATGCGTGCTACGTTCCCTGTCAATCTCATTCTCCTTTATCTTGTCTCTGTAATACCGGGAGTTCGTCAAAAACACAGACTATTTTTCTCCTCATTACGCTACGTAAATAAATATTTATTATATTAAAAAAATGTGATTCTATCGCATGAAATTTTATTATTAAAGAAATATTAATTGTATTACGTTATCCATTTTAACACAACGGATCGCTGCTAGTTGAATACCACGTCCATGTAAAACAGAGACACGGTCGAATAACAAATTCTTAAAATTTCAATGAAAGCTCCTCATGCCAAATTTCGTCGAAATCTGAAAAGTGGCTTATGAGCTTAAATCTGTACTAATGTTTGGGCAAACAGACAGGCATATACGAATTCCCTGTTGTCTTGTTATTTTCATGCAGTAAGTGGAAACAACACATCAAATCGCAAAGTAACGTTTAAAAATAAAACAAATTCTTCAACGCTTTGCGGTTGAAGACATCATTTAAGTTATTTATAAGCTCAGTATGGTGATGTAAACCACAGTCTCAACCTATGAAGTTTACCAAGCACTTGTTCTGAAACTCTGAACTTCATTTAACCATGAAAAACCAATATTTTTTTTTAATATGCCATGCCAATGTTGGTGTGGCCTTGCAAACCTGTTTTGTTGAAGCTCATATGTTTCCAAATGCTGACATGGCAAGAAAGTGGGGGGCCCGCTAGAGGCACAAACGTATGTCCACTTTTTGTATATCGATCGGTAGATGCTAACGTTTCGGAGAAATATATTAACTCCATCTTCAGAGCTAAAATGGCGATGCTGGAATGACATCCTAGCAAATTTAGTAGGTCATATTGCGTCCAGCAATGCACCGAGTGAGACGCCAGACCAGTGCATCTTTTTCCACAGCGTATGAGGAAATGTGGGGAAAGTATCTGTTAGGACAGGAAGCTTTTCGGCCGAGATTCGAACCGGAGGACTCCCTAACAGAATGGGTACTGTCACAACAAGACGGAGCGCACGCGCGGTGTTGGCATCGTCGTATCAATCACCGCCAACAACCCGTTCGCACGTCGCCTTGGCGCAGTCGCGTCTCACGGGCGACATACAACCAAGGAAACGCACCCTATTGCGATTCACAGCCGCGAGCAACCGTGTGTTCCGCTGGCCACCGACTCTATAAAACTTGTCTGCCAACAGCAAGGCTGCCAGTTCACTGTTGATCTCTACACGGGCTCCTTCCGAACACAACAGCATCTTCCGTGTTTTTGAAATACTTGTCATCTGACCTCGTGCTGGTGCAAGGCAAGAACAAATAATCAGGATCTATAGGCGACTTAGGTCACTTATCTCCTGTCGTCTTGGTGTTACCAGAGAGACCGTAATTAACTTCGTTGCTGTGAGTTATTTGTTTAACGTTGGGAAATTAGTTGTTTGTGCTATTTATGTACAGTGTACAAAAGTGCTGTGGGGCTACTTCACGTGGTCTGAGTGAGCAACTGAATGCAAAGAGAACAAAATGTTTACTGTGACAAAAGTCAATATTATCGATGTTTAATTAACATAGAAAACACCAGTGTAATTAAGGTACAAGATAAAATGTGACAATTAACTTTTAACAATTCCCTTACTTGTTACCAACTATGTGAGAAAAAATCTCCCGAGCAAATACGAAAACCCTTTACGACTTAAAAATATGAAATTACGTAAGCCATTTTACACTTGTCTGTTTATTCTCAAAAGTTACAGTAAAGTGTAATGAGTGGGTGTTTGGAAACTATCTCAAAACTGATGAAACGGGCTTAGACATATACGTGGACCATCATCGTGTAGTACTTCATAAAAGGAAGAGAAAAAAACAGAATTTGTAGTGATGTTTAAAAAACCATGGAGTGGCCAACATCCTTAACAAACTCGACTTCACCGTCTGCGATGGACATTCCAGCGAGAGAAGACGTAACGACGTATTTTTCCGAACTGTTACCAACAGCCGACAACGGTTCAACAGTGGCATCAGTTGGAATGGCCACGCTAAACCTTGGTCCTGTTAGGGACCCCCTGTACATAGTGATTCCCATCACCAGTTTATATTTCCTAATTTTCTTCACAGGGGTGGTGGGTAACATCATCACGTGCGTTGTCATAGCGAGGAACAAACACATGCAGACGGCCACCAACTACTACCTGTTCAGCCTCGCCGTCTCAGACCTCGTTCTGTTACTGTCGGGTCTACCGCAAGAGATTTACTGTATCTGGTCCCGGTACCCTTACGTATTCGGAGAGGTATTCTGTGTTTTACGAGGTCTGTTTGCCGAAACGTCCGCCAATGCGACTGTACTGACCATCACGGCGTTCACGATGGAACGCTACGTAGCAATATGCCACCCCTTCCTGTCGCAGACGATGTCTAAACTGTCCCGCGCGGTGAAGATAATCATCATCATATGGATTGTCGCCATCGTATTAGCGGTGCCTCAAGCCTTCCAGTTCGGCATAGTGATTGGCAACACCCCTGACATTGTGATGTGCATAGTCAAAAGTCCGATATTCGCCCATTCTTTCGAGATATCGACATTGGTTTTCTTCATTACGCCCATGATTCTTATCACAGTGCTGTACGCTTTGATTGGAGTCCGTCTGAGGCACTCGAACATGATAATGAAATGCGCTGCAGTTGGGTCGCTTAACTGCAAACATGACTCTCACCCGTTGACAACTGCGTCTTTGCATCGGCCACGACAACGCCACCCGGAAACCGGGAAACACCGGAAGACAGCGTGTTGCAGACAACATCAGATTCAGTGTTCTCGCCGGGTAATCAAAATGCTTGGTAAGTTCACTCAGTGCCATCTAAGCATGTTTCAATGTGGGTGCTGCGTACATAGGCTAATTAATTCTTATACTACCACACATCGTCCCGGAAGGGTCTACCTGACATTCATTTTCGACCTACCTCGAATTTGAAGACTCAAGACATGCTGACTTAAAAAAAATACGTCATTCAGTCTTGCCACTGTTACTGATCAACATTATAGATTCTTGTTCGAGAGGTCCAAGGTTAAAATCTCGTCTCGAACACCAGGCATCCTGAATGGAGTTTATCGTGGTTTCCGTCCGTACCTCTATTAGCCCAAGATCGCTAATCGAAAATCTTATAATTCGCTGTTCTTATAAAATAAATAAGTAAAATACGAAATGCATGCAGAATTGTCATGAGGAAATATCTCGCAAAGCAATATTAAGCCTGGAAGGAGGACATATTAAATTTGGTCTGAGAGAAATGGAAATGGTCCAGGGTTACTGGTGTTGGCAGCGTCGAATATCTGACTTCCGTCGTCAGAGTGACATGCTCCGCATTTGTAAACAAAAACGTAGCAGTTCTCCTCATGCGTGACGGTAACATTATAGGTGGGTGGACAAGCGTAGCAGACATGCGTCCCTCCCCCACACACGATCATGTTTCCAAATAGGCCTCATAAAAAGCGACGTTCCGCTGTGCGCACATCTGGCCGCTTCCTACATTTCCAATCCGTGTAATCGGAAGTGCAGAACACGAACTGAAGTGTCGATAGGGTACTCCTTTCAGTTCCATTAACACCCAGAGTCTGAAAACCTGCCAATGATTTACAACGATAGTTCACTCCAAATGCACTTTTAATGTATTCAAAGGAACGCTAGACACAAAGAAGTGAGTTGATATTTCGGCATTCACATCTTTCTACTTCTGGAATCGCGTAAAATATGGAAAATTCAACACAATATTTAGTAGTTACACTGCTTTATCGTAATCGTGAAGTCCCGCGAGCGATTGTGAACTGGAATCAGGCTGTAATTGAGAGAAAGATGCCGTTCTGATAGAGTTCGACAGAGACGGCCTCAGAAATGTCGGACATTCCGAATTGATGCGTCCGATTGTATGAGAGAATTTGATCAAGGCGTTACCTCAGAATGTCAGTCAAAGCCGCTACGCGGTCTGACTCGGAGTCAATGAGACCGTGGTTCGAATCCTACTTAAGTCATGGATGTTTGTCCGCGTCTTTCTGTGCTGTGTACAGGTAGACGCCTTGCGTCGGGTTGATTCCTTCTCGTCCAAGGAGTCCTACCAAATGTCTGAAGAGATAAAGTAACCTCCTCCCACACGTGAGGACGCGAAGGTCCTTAAAGGACTATAGAGCCATCGGTGATTATAATAATATTACAGTATTTTATATTATAATTTCATTATATTTCTTAAGTAATTTATGCACTTGGTCCATAGGCATCTTTGAGTATTCACATCTTTCGTTTCTTAGACGAACGTAACTTTTAACTCTCTACAAATCAAGTGGTAACTATATCTGCCGCCTGCTTTAACAATCAACAAGATTGGGAAGGTGTACTCTTTAGAGTACAATGACACTCCAAAGATGCTCCTAGCGCCACACAACGCTAGTCACCTTTGCATTAATGCCATCGGAAACACAAGGTTACGCAGTAACAAGATGGTATCAGATTAGTAAACAATTACCTAGGGTAATTGTTGGAACACATTGTAGCGTAACTGATCTCAACATGACCTAGGTTCCCACGTGACAATACGCCTTCTGTTCAACGTCGGAAACAATGACTGCTTGTCACGCAGTTTGCCTGATTCGCAGGCAAAACTCGGCAAACATCGAGGGAGCCTTTATCTCAAGCCAGAGCGTGCAGAACGCCGATAAAACCTACATTTTCTATTTATGGAGTTAAGAACAGGGTCATTTATTTAAACAAAATAAAGAAGTTATCTTTGTAATGGTGAAGCGTTGCGTTTTCTCTGAGGTACGGACCGAAATATTAAACGACATTTACAGGAAGTGTGGCTTTAAAGGTTTAAAGGATTTTACGGAGGTACATCCCAGAAGGCGGACATCTTAGGACTCGCCGAATCGAGATATTCCCTTTGGGTTTCGACTGGGCTGAAATCTGCCATTGTCGAGTCTTGAAAACACACTTCACTATACAGTCATACAAACGCCTACTGACACTACATTTAACGACATTTAAAGCAAAAAATAACAAAGCACGTGACATAATTGTTCCCATTTTATTCATTTTATCAATAATAAAATTGTATTTACATTAAACGAATATATAAATCCTGTGCCCAAGGTAAAAAATTGCAAGGAATTATTTTTGAATTTCTGTGCATTCAGAAGCTGAATGTGAATTTCAATTATTGTACGTTCAATATTGTCAGAAATCGTAGGTGATGTGATAACGTATAACAGCCACTTATTATATCTCATTGTTATGGAAATGTGGCTTGTTATCACTTTTAAAGAAGAACAAAAAGTATTCCTACAATGCTGCATGCAATTTCGTTCACACGACAGTGTTTATAGGCTGCGTGAACGTAACGTATTGACATGCAACACCGAGCCCAGACTGATCGTAAGATACGTCGACTTTAATCAGAACTGTGCATGCGTTATAATTATTTGCGTTTTCACGTACAGAATTTTCTGTTGTGCCACATCTAATTTCATGCTGAACCCAATGAATTAATCAGTAATTCACGATAGTGTCATTAAATGTGTAGACATGTATCCAGATATTACATTAGAAGTATAAACATTGGGTAGACTATATTTTGTGATTGGTTTTAACACACGCATTGTTGTGCGTTACAAAATTGTACGCACTTTTATTCAATGAAAGAATCGTCACCCCACAGACAAAAATACACTCCGTGGGAGAAACTTTTAAGTTTCTGCGTGTTAAAGCTGACGGTATACGTAATTACCACTGAAGTTTAAATGGTTTAAAGTAATTATTAAATCAGTTGTTGATGTGATTAGCAGAGTCAGTTTTATCCGTTCTCAGCCGCCCCCTTTAAAACATGCGTCTTCTCTTCCTCGTTCAGGGCGTGATTGAATTTATGTCAAGGTAATCCTAGCAAACATGTTAACGAACGGAAACATGGCAGCCACAGTAACCAAGCGGTTTTCGGGTTGAATCATGCGCACAGACGGACGGACAGACGTACATACTCTCTGGGCACTATGTTATGTTCTTTTCATGCAAAGAACTTAATCAAATTAACGCGGCATATATTAACTGACTCATTTTCTTTTTCCTAAATTCAGTACGAATATCATGTCATTGCAGTCTTTGACACCCCTGAAGTTTTTAACGATATAAATGCATCATCGAAACTTTGAAATGTTAAACGGGAGAAGGTAATGCCATTAAATGCAGTGCCCTGAAGTTTGCATGGTAAAGTATTTTGCTGCGGTGACGGTAAATGGCAAACATTATAACTTCACGCAAAATTTGTATCGAGACATGTATATAAGATATTAACTGATTATATGAGTGGTGTTATGCACTGTTAGACCCTGGAATACACAATTCCAGTGGATAATCCACATGACGATTGTTTGCTTTAGCTTAGTTAAATCGACACATTTCATGGATTAAAGTGTACTTATTCATAATTATAAAAAACTTTAATATTTAGTTATTATTATTATGTACATCGGGGAGAAAATCCTTCAGGCAATGCCTTAAAAGTAGGGAAATTAACCTGATGATGGCCACATTGGTTCGAAACATGTTCATGTGACGGCAAGAAAAACCAAAAATATATTTGTCCTTGAAATGTCACTAAGTGTTTACAACATAACATATCAGTACCGTCTAAATTTAAATGGTGCAAACCATTATTACGTGGCACAAATTATATAAAATTTTTACAGGACTGTACTACTGACACGGTTTGAGCATATCCAGATAATCCCGTGGCGTTTCTGGTGCTGAAAAACAGATGAATAACATTTTGCGCATCCTGCAATCGATTGGTCGTCTTTACATCTTTCTCCATCGGATGCATGAAAAACATTTCTCATGTCCCAGCCAATAAAGTTTCTTAAAATACGATTATTCATTTTGTATTCTGGTAAATATTACAAGCATTAGTCGCAGAAATGAGACAAGAAACCTATTACGCACCAATCACGGCATAAAGCTGACAACATTTGTTTCGGATACAGCCAGAATATAATGTAGTTTAATACAGGCATAAAACAAATAGCAGTCAATGAAAAAGAAGGACGGACAGAAAATCTTACGCGACAGACGTACAAGATAGAAACCTTATTGGAAGTAGATGCGTCGAATGAAAGTCGTGGCAGATAAAAGTGAATAAATATACATATATTTCGTGGAACAGAGATAAATCTAACTTTACCACTCTATTCCCTATGTGCCTTCACGATGTAGTGCTTTACCGAATGAAACTTCATATTTCAATAAGAAGAATAAGAATAATATTCGTTATTATGGAGTTTCTGCGTTCAATAGAACTGGAAACTAAAGTTTGTAGCTGAATGCATTTGTTCCACTCAGTATAACTCACACTACCCAATCAAATAATCCCTAATTAATTTATACAGCTATTCAAGTGAAATGTTTTAACTGAATTACTTCCAGTAATAAAACGAATAACACAGCAGGTTGCAGGGCTTACAGGCTGTATTTTATGAGACATTTGTCTGTTCGAAGGTGACGTGGGAGAAGAATCTTATTATCTTTGTGTTGTGCTGCCCATATTTCGCGTAAAGGAATAAAGTCTGGTTTACTTCTATTGAAAGGATAATCGCCCTGATGATGGAGGCAGCAAGGACCTCTGAAACGTCGGTAAACTTTTACCAGACTACAGGGCGCTACATTCCAGAAGACAGCCATCTTCAGGCTCACCGCCGTGAAAACCTCAAATCCCACGCATAATTATCAGTCTGAATTTATTTATTCAAGTATCTTACCCAAATGTTTAATACCGAGAAAAGTCAAGGACGTAACAAAGAAAAA